ACGTGTACTTTCGGGAAAATGGGTCTTCCGCGTCAAAACCGCCGCTGACGGAACCATCGAACGCAGCAATGCCTGCTGGGTCGTGCGTGGTTTCGATCAACGCCACGACGTTGATTTTGACCAAACGTTTGCACCTGTCAGCCGCCATATCTCCGTCCGCATCCTTCTCGCCATTGCCGCCGCACAACATCTCCCACTCAGACAGATCGATGTCAAGAATGCGTTCCTCTACGCGTCAGTCGATGCACTCATCTTCGTCGAGCAACCGCACACTTACGGCGATGGCGATGACCGCGTGTGTCAGCTCAAGAAATCGCTCTACGTTATCAAGCAGGCACCTCGACTCTGGCAGCAGCATCTCCATCACATTTTTCTGGACATCGGCTTCACCCAACTCCCTCACGACCCCGGCATGTACCGTCTTCACTACTGCGAAGACTACAATCTACTCACGGCGTACGTAGACGATCTTCACTACACTGGCACCACAAGCTCTTCGCACAGTTCGAGACAAACCTCAGCAACCGCGTCGAAATCACCAGCACCGACCACGTCACTCAGTTTATCGGACTTAACATCTCCTACGCCGTTGACGCCATTCACCTCTCCGCTGCCAAGTACGCTGAAACACTATCTGCAAAATTCAACATCAAACCGGTCAACATCTCAACTCCTTACCGGAACCAGACCACCCCTGCCAACCCCAATACAATCCTTCTCAACCCAACTGGACATTAACTGTACCAGCAACAACTCGGATGCCTCCTCTTTGGTGCAGTAATGTGCAGGCCTGACTTGTCCTACATCTCGAGCCAGCTCGCTCAGTATGCCAAGCGGCCTGAAGGGGAGCATATGTTGGACCTGCAGCGTGCCCTACAATACTTCATCTCCACACCGCACATTGGACTCACCTATTCCACCATCACAACCCGCTCGTTCAGCCTCGTTGGCTACGTGGACGTAGATCATGCGCCCGACCCCGCAAATCGACGGTCCTGAACCGACTTTCTCTTCCGCCTCGAGCCCACCGATCTAATTTACTGGAATTCTCAGAAGCAAAAAATGATGGCGCTCTTCTCCGCTGAAGCCGAGTTCATCGCCGCCTCGTCAGCCGTTCGCGAAGGACTCTATCTCCAAGAACTGCTCCAGGAGGCGAAAATTGCAACATCCGCGAGCTTCAAGCTTCACTGCGAAAACCAGAGCGCGTAAAAATCGCAAACAAACCTGACTTCGTCAACCGCACCAAACACATCGCACTTCGCTATTTCTTCGTTAAGGACGAAGTTGACAAAGGCAAAGACATCTTGACTTACTGCCCCATCGGTGACATGGCAGCTGCTTTCCTCACTGAGAAGTTGCCATGTCAGCAGTACCATTACTGCGGAAACATCTGTGGTATAACCAAGCTCGTCAAGACTTCGCTTCTCCAAGAATGAAGGGGAGTGTTACGATATGGAATTGTTAAATAACATTCCTAGAGTAACACACTCTTAACGCGAATATGACTGCACCGAGGACGAAGACCGAACCAAGCGGTTCTTGGAGATGGTTGCATGCAGGAAGAATTCGAAGTGCAAAGCGCGGAAAAACTTTCAAACAGTTACCGTGACGCGAACAGTTACCGAAGCGCGCGGTTGGTATCCTGATCTAGATTAGCCCTAAGGGGAATGTACCCCCTCAGAGTACATGGCTAGCTAGGACCTTTCGTATTCCACTGTATTCCTATATAAACCCTTGTACCGTATTGCATTAGTCACTTCTGTCGAGATTCAAATCTCCTTTTGACAGGGTCCGTACCCGACATTACTGTCAAATCCTTCCTGTGCTACACTAAGTGCGATCAACCTGAGACGATCCTGTATAAGTATTTCAGATTGTAACACGTTGCACACTTTGCACACTGGTAAATGAAATCGTCTTTGCCCAAGCGAGGGCGGGCTGGCAGGCTGGCGTGCTTTCGGGCTTACGTGACAGCGGGCTTGGCTAGAGAACGAGAATGAATGAACTAACAAGAACACAAGGGTACATGAGTGCGAGCGACCATAGCAAAACAAGAAAGCCTAGCCTACAAAACTATGTGCACAACATGCAAACCTCAAACTTGCAAGGTGGCGGGATGGTACGGTGGGGCTGGTGGGCTTCGAATCTGAGACCTTTTGTACTGGTAAAAACAATACTAACAGGGCTACATGAATTTCTACAAAATCCTAGATATATTTGTTTAAAGAAGAAAGTTTATTATCGGAAGGCAAAAATATCACAATATTGTTAGGGAAGACCGTCTTAACGTTGTGGAGAGCAATATAGCGAAACCTTTATAGCATAATAAAGCAATAATATCGTAACATTTGTCAAAATAAGCTAGAGAGCAGTAGGTTTAGGAGCCAGAGCCTTAGTAACTAGGAGCTAGGTTTTAGGGTTGAGGCAAGAGTCGAGACTGTTTGGCCAAAGTGAGTGAGTGCACTAGCAAGCAGGGGGGGTACAAATGGCAAGCCCTAAAAGGGTTATACTCACTATTGAGTACCCCACTGCAGACTAGACAAACATAATATTCTGACACACCCCCATAGTCAAAGTGGGGTATAATCAGTACAGCAAGCAGACGCATAAGAAGTTCACAAGCACAAGCAAAGCTAGAGGCAGTCACACAGGGCAAGTGAGGAGGAGGAGGGACTGTGAGAGGAGTGGAGATAGGAGGCGACGGGTGAAGCCGCAGACACATGGGCAATAGGAGCGGCGCGCACGGTGGCTACCGGTGGCAAGGGCCCCGGACTACAGGAGTAACTGGCTCCGCGCTAAGACGAGCGAAAGGAGCAACTGACCCACGTGCGACTGGCGCAGCAGGCTCGCTGGGCTACCAGTGGCAAGGGCCCCGGACTACTGGCGCTGCTGACGTCACGACGGCTACCTCCGCTCAACCTCCCCCAACTGTCCCACACCCCTTTCACACACCCCTTGCTGCACCCCTAGCTCCACTCCCACGACACCCCCCTAGTTCCACTCCCTCGGCTCCCACACACCCACCCCCCTCAGCGGCAGCTGCAGCAGTGGGAGACGGAGGAGGAGGAGGAGCAGGGGACGGCTCACACACCCGCCACCCCCATACCCGCCACCCCCATACCCGCCACCCCAAGACCCCCAACGCAGGCAGGGCGGGGCAGATACGTGGGCAGCAGCTGGGGCGGCGTGCGAGCGGAAGCGGGGCGGCGCGCGGGCCCCCAGGGCGCCGCGACGAACGACGGGGAGGGGGCGCGCGGGTCCCTGAGGGCGCCACGACGAGCGACAAAGGGCGACGCGCGGGTCCCTGGGGGCGTCGCGACGCACGACGGGGGGGGGGGGGGGGGGGGGGGGCGCGGGTCCCTGGGGGCGCCGCGACGGGCGACGGGGGGCGACGCGCGGGTCCCCGGGGGCGTCGCGACGAACGACGGGGGGAGGGGGGGGGGGCGCAGGTCCCTGAGTGCGCCACGACGGGCGACGGGGGGGGGGGGGGGGGACGCGCGGGTCCCCTGGGGCGCCGCGACGGGGCAGGAAACCGCCACACGCCCCGAGCGCGTGGCGGGCAGAAAACCGCCACGGGCCCAGAGCGCGTGGCGGAAAGAAAAAACGTCGCGCGCCGACAGTACAGCAGCAGCGGAAACATGTGGGCCCACCCTGGAGCGCAAAGGCTCTGATACCATGTCAAAATAAGCTAGAGAGAAGTAGGCTTAGGAGCCATAGTCTTAGTAACTAGGAGCTAGGTTTCAGGGTTGAGGCAAGAGTCGAGACTGTTTGGCAAAAAAGAGTGAGTGCACTAGCAAGCAGGGGGGGTACAAATGGCTAGCCATAAAAGGGTTATACTCACTATTGAGTACCCCACTGCAGACTAGACAAACATAATATTCTGACTACATTGTTAGGCAGAAACATCATGAGATTGTCATGCAAAACTTGGGGGAGAGAATGTGTCAGCACAGATTTGTAAGCCGAGCCGTACCACACATATCACTATGCTGTGTTGCTGCGAGCGTAGGCGGGCATCATCACGCAGCATGCAATGCGATAATTGGGCACCTCAGATAGTGGTTAAATGCCAGCTTCAGTTGTACCACAATGGTTGTTTAGAACGGTTGGGGTTGTGCTAAAACGATTGTCTTGGTGCCATGTGTAAAGGTGTATGCTTTGTTTGGTCTTGTATGCTTTCTTCTGTGGTCATACATATTTTTCCTCCTCTCCTCTACTTTTCCACTCACTTTCCACTCCCCCCTCCCCGGTTTCTCCTTTTTCTTTAATAACAACAATTTTACATATATATGACATGTATTGTACTGTACTCTCCTTCTTTTGAATGAGCAGCAGCACCCCTCACCAGTCTGTACACCACACAAGATTGAACAATACCCGCTATACGCCCAGTGATGACCCAACCACTGCTGCATCTACATCCCTGACGGGCCAAGCCTCGACATATCCAATAGTCCCAGCATCCCTCTAAACCTAATACACGTCGGCCGCCATACTCCGCGAGGCGACCAACGCGACCTCGAAAGTCCTTTTTTTGTGAGCGATTTTCTGCACGTTTCGGTCATTTCGCGCGGCGACGTCTCTGCCGTAGGAGGTAGCTCCGTAACTCCGAGTGCCGCCGTTTCTACGTCAACATGGCGAAACCTCCGTCCTTAGCTTCGTAACATCCGCATTGGTGATGCCGCATTTAGTCATTCTCCGGACTTGATTCCCCGCTCGTTTCTACTAAGTTGATCACTGCCTATCGCACACACTAAGCAGCGCACATGGCTGCTGCAGCTGGAACCGCGGCAGCGCCAGCTGTAGCGGCCGACGGGCCACTATGGAAGTCGCGATTCATAGATTATTTCGTGGTGTGCGGCTTGGGTCTAGACCTGCGGTTAATGGACGGCACGCGCGGATTCCACGGCATGAAGAGCCATGGCGTGCGCATTTCGTACATGCCTGTGGTCATCGATCGCCTGCCGGTTGAGGAGCATAAGAAGTTTAAGATTCCGGAAATGTTACCGCTGGTGCGATATCCTCTCAATAAAAGCTCCCGTTGACTCGGGCTTTAAGAATCACATTGTGTTGTCAGGCGGAGTTAGCACTGTAGAGTGAAGTGCAGGATCCACTGCGCACCGCCTGTGTTGTCAGCCGCACGTCTGCTTCGGTTACGCGGAGTCCGCATTCTCGTCAGCTGCGCGTTCAGCGCGCGCGTACGCGCCTCTAATAAAATGGCAATGTTCTTACTCTCTGCTTTCCGCACGGATCCTCCTCTACTCTGCTCCGAACGTTGACGTCAGTCGCTGCTCCTCTTGTTCCCGAAATCTTGGCCCCGCGTCGCAACCGCTTGTTTCCCTGCGTCCCCGCGTCTCCCCCTGTGCCGTCCCCCTGCGCCGTCCCCCCTGCGCTGCCCCCTTGCGCCGTCCTCCCCAGGCCGTGCTACCGGGCGGGCTGCGCTTCTACAGCCATGGAGCTAACCAGGACGAGCCGCTGTCGTTCCCGCGATCCTACCCCATCATCCTCACCGGTACGCCCCCCGGACCCGCACCTTCTCGCTCATCCGACACTGGAATGCCACCATATAATTCGCCGTGCGCGCATGCCAGAGTGCCGCCGTTCACTCGCGCGCGCGCAGCCTCGCGTCACACGCCCGCGCCCGGGAGAGAATCGTCAAGCCTCAGCTATCCACTCTTCCCTCCCCCCTCCGCCCCCCCCCCCCCCTCCCCCGCACGTCTCCTCCCCTTTCTTCTCCCCCCCCCTTTCTTCCCCCATTCTCCCTCCCTCCCCCCCCTCCCCCCTCTTCAGAGGGCGACGGCACCAAGGTGTACGTGTCGGTGCTGGCGTTCCGCGACCTGGTGGACGATGACGTGGCGCAGGCGTACAGCATCCCGCCCAACTCGTACGCGGACAAGTGTCTGTGCGTGATCAGCCACTACCCGTTCCTCGACACCTTCGCCGACCTCCTCACTGAGATCCACCGCCTCGCCTTCCAGCCGCTCGGCAGCCCGTCAGTGCCCCTCCCTTCCCGGCCTCTCTCCCTCCCCTCCCCTCCCTCTCTTCCCTCCTCGCTCGCCCTCTCTCCCTTCCATCCCTCCTTTCCCTCCCATTCTCCCCTCGGTGCTCTCAGTCCCTTTACTGCCCTCCCTGCTCTCGCTTGCCATCTTGGTCGCTGTTTGTGGCATCGTGTGCGTTCCCACTTGCCCTTTTCCTATGGTCCATGCTCATGGCTGAAATGAACCTCCTGCTGTTCACGTGCAAAGCCGCGCGTTCCCAGCTTCCCCTGGCCATCACATTGCAAGTCATCAACTATGTCAAATGCTCTGGTGTGTTTTGCTGGCACGTCACCACATGGCATGGCATGGCATGGCATGGCATGGCATGGCGTGTGAATGGTTGTGATTTGGAATGTCATGGTATGGCATGGCATAGCAGGCGGCCAATATGGGACATAATAGCGGGGGTGATGTCGGTGCCGCTGCCATCAGGGCCACAGCAGACGGTGGTCTTCAGCGTCGAGAGCGTTGTGCTCTCCACCACTCTGCCCGACCCCCACGCCCTCCCCTCCTCCCACGTCAGTGCCCCCCCGCCTCTCCCCACCCTATTACCCCACATTGCCACAGTCGTCGCACTGCGATTTCCCTGCGTCACACTTCGGATACGCCAGGACTCCTGTGCTCTCATCTCATCTCATCTCATCTCATCTCATCTCATCTCATCTCATCTCATCTCATCTCATCTCATCTCATCTCATCTCATCTCATCTCACACATCACATCAAAGTTAATATCGACGACCCTTCCTCTGTTGCTGCCTCTCCTCTCTCACACACCCCCAGGTGTCGTTTCTCCCCCTTGTAAGCTGTCTCGATATTGACAACATCATTCAGCTCTTCACAGCCGTGCTCCTCGAGAGACGAGTGCTGCTGCTCGGGGGCATGTGAGTCTCGCAATACAGAGTCGGCGGCCTGTCTGTCTGTCTCTGCACGAGTCACTGAATCTGCCTCTCAGCAAGCTCCACAACCCACACCGCCCCTCGTCTTACCATGCCACATTCTGCCAGAGAACTGCTCCCTACTCCCACCTGCTGGCCTCTCCTCTTGCTTGTGCTGCCCGCCCCGCCCTCCCCTCCCCTCCCCAGGCTAAAGCTACTGACCAATGTGGCGGAGGCGGTGTCAGGGCTGCTCTACCCTTACAAGTGGATGGTGAGCACTGGTGGCAGTAGGCTGGAAGGGCAGGAGGGTGAGCACGGGCACTGGTGGCAGTAGGCTGGAAGGGCAGGAGGGTGAGCACGGGCACTGGTGGCAGTAGGCTGGAAGGGCAGGAGGGTGAGCACGGGCACTGGTGGTTGCCTTGAGAGGCTCGCAGTGGTCCTAGTTGTGGGTGCACCCGTCGTAGTAGGTTGCCTGGTGGAGCGCACGCCCTTGCTAGATGTCACCGATGGCTTGTGGCTGCATCCATGCTGACAGCAGGGTGCGCCGCTGATGATGCTGATGCTGATATGCTGATGCTGATGCTG